ATTACAGGCACCCACCACCACACCTGGCTAATTTTTGTGTTTTTTAATAGAGACGGGGTTTCACCATGTTGGCCAGGCTGACCTCGAACTCCTGACCTCAGGTGATCCTACCGCCTTGGCCTCCCAAAGTGCTGGAATTATAGGCGTGAGCCACCGCGCCTGGCCTATATTTTCTCCTTTTTCATACCCCACATCTATTCCTCACTTGAATCCTATTCCTCCTTGCTCTCTCAGCTCAAATGACATTCTTACCATCCCATAGATTAGGCCAGGCCCTCATGCTATATTTTCTCATAGCATTACAAAGCTTTTTCTCATAACACTCATCCCAGCTTATGTTTACGTATTTAAGTATGTGATGCACATCTGCCAAGGCAAGGCCAAGAACGCTCCCTCTTCTGAGTTGCAACAAAAAGCGAGGACTTGGCTGGGCGCAGTGGCTCACGCCTGTAATCCCAGCACTTTGGGAGGCCGAGGTAGGCAGATCACGAGGTCAGGAGATGAAGGTCATCTTGGCCAACATGGTGATACCCCATCTCTACTAAAATACAAAAAATTAGCTGGGTGTGGTGGTGTGTGCCTGTAATCTCAGCTACTTGGGAGGCTAAAGCAGGGGAATCGCTTGAACCTGGGAGGTGGAGGTTGCAGTGAACTGAGATCGCACCACTGCACTCCAGCCTGGCAACAGAGCAAGACTCCATCCAAAAAAAAAAAGTGAAGACTTGTTTCTCTTGTTTCTCTTCACCAAGAACCTAGCGAAGATCTGATCCTGTCTTGGGGGAGAGAGTTAGGAGAAGTAGAAGGCATGGGAGGAGACAAGAATATTGTTTCTTTAGGGAGAGGTTGGAATGGGAAGATGATGTATTGGGATGCGCTCACCTCCCATCCTCTGACAAAATCAGCCAAGGAAATTGTGAGTGTGTAGTTGTCTGAGTGAATAAGGGAGGAAGAAAGTATCTGTGAGTGAGGGCTGGGCATGGTGGCTCACGCCTATAATCCCAGCACTTTGGGAGGCCAAGGCGGGTGGATCACGAGGTCAGGAGATCAAGACCATCCTGGCTAGCATGGTGAAACCCCGTCTCTACTAAAAATACAAAAAAAAAAAATTAGCTGGGCATGGTGGGCACCTGTAGTCCCAGCTACTTGGGAGGCTGAGGCAGGAGAACGGTGTGAACCTGGGAGGCGGAGCTTGCAGTGAGCTGAGATCGCACCACTGCGCTCCAGCCTGGGCGACAGAGCGAGACTCCGTCTCAAAAAAAAAAAAAAAAAGAGAAAGAAAATATCCATGAGTGGTCCTGGCAGTTTGTACTTAAACATCAGACAGAGCCTTCACGGCACATAAGCTAGACTAAGCTAAGATGTATGCTTACAATAATGTCCCCAACCTAACAGTAAGTGTACGACCTGGTTGGGCACAGTGGCTCACAGCTGTAATCCCAGCACTTTGGGAGGCCGAGGTGGGCGGATTACCTGAGGTCAGGAGTTCGAGATGAGCTTGGCCAACATGGTAAAACCCTGTCTCTACTAAAAATACAAAAATTAGCCAGGTGTGGTGGCAGGTGCCTGTAATCCCAGTCACTTGGGAGGCTGGGGCAGGAGAATTGCTTGAACCCGGGAGGCAGAGGTTGCAGTGAACTGAGATCACACCATTGCACTACAGCCTGGGCAACAAGAGTGAAACACTTAAGGGAGAAATAATATGAATTCAACTCAAACTCTCAGAAAATTTAAAAGATTATTCCTAACTTATTCTATTAGGCCAGCATTACCTTGATACCAAAAACAGATACAAACATTAAAGAAAAGAAAACTACAAATCAATATTTTTTATGAATATAGATTCCAAAATTTCTTATAAAATTTTAGCAAATTTAATCCAACTATATATTAAAAGGATAATATATGATGACCAAGTAAAATTTATCCAAGGATGCAAAATGGTTAAGCATTTTTTTATAAAAACAATTATTTATCATGACAACAAACACTTAAAAAGTAAAACTCTATGATCATTTCAATGGAGGCAGAAAAAGCATTTGACAAAATCCCACATCTATTACTGATTTAAAAAAAAACAACCCTAGAAATAGAAGAATATTTCTTCAATTCAATAAAGGAACGAGGCAAAGACGACTGCTTTCACCATTTTTAGTAAATATTCCACTGAAGGTTCTAATCAGTGAAGTAAGTCAAGAAAAAGATATAAAGGCATCCAAATTGGAAAGGAAGAATTGAAATTGTCTTTAGTTCCACATGACATTATTGTCTGTGGAAAAACATGCTATGAAAATCTCCCAAAAAAAGCAAGATAACTGAAAAGCGACTTTAGCAAGGTTGTAGGATATAGTCAAAATTCAGAAATCAACTCTATTTCCATATACTAGTAACAATCAGAAAGAGAAATTAAGAAATAATATTACAATAGCATCAAAACATGAAATATATAGAGATACATTTGACAAAAGATGTGCAAGACCTGTACACTGAAAACTGCAAAACATTCATGAGAAATATTAAAGATGACCTAGATAAAAGGAGACATATATTGTGTTCGTAGATTAAAAGACTCAATCTTGTTAAGATGTTAATCCTCCCCAAAATGAACTTTAAAGTCAATACAATCCCAGTTAAGATTCCAGCAAGCTTTTTAAAAGAGAAACTACCAAAATGAATCAGAAATTCATACGAAAATGCAAATGACCTAGGGGAGTCAAAATAACTTTGAAAATAAAGAACAAAGTTGGAGGGCTAATATTTTCTAATTTCAAGAGTTATTATAAAGCTGCAGTCATCAGGACACTATGGTGTTATAAACAGATCCACAGAACAGAATACAGAATCCAAAAATAAATGAACACACGTGTGGATAACTGAATTTTGACAAATGTGCAAAGGCAATTCAATGGATAAATGATAGTCTTTTTAACAAGCAGTGCTAGAACAATTGGATGTACATGTGCAAGAAAATGAACTTTGATGTTTTTCTTGCACCATATTATATGAATGTTTGTGTTGCTTAAAATTTATATGTTGAAGCCTTAATTCCCAGTGTGACGGTATTTGGAGATGAGGTCTTTAGGAGGTTATTAGGTTAAGATGAGATGATGATGATGGGGCCTCCATAAGAAGATTAGTGCCCTTATCAGCTGAAAGAGGAAGAGACCAGAGCTCACTCTCTCTCTTTGCTATATGAATATACAACAAGAAGGCAGCTGTCTGCAAGCCAGGAAGAGGGTCCTCACCAGAACTCACCATGCTGGCACTTTGATCTTGGATTTCTAGCCTTAAAACTGTAGATGTAAATGTCTATTTTTCAGGCATTTACAATGTATACATTATAAATGTACATGTACACATGTATGCATTTACGTTTGTACATTATTAGCATGTAACACACATCACATAGTTAATGTCTAGCCATTAGACATTAACATTATAACATTAGTTAAATGTCTAATACCCTGTCTTTGCTGTTTTGTAATAGTGGCCAAAGCAGACAAAGAGACACCATATATAAAAATTACGCATAATGAATCAAGAACCATAAGGTAAAATCTACAGCTCCAAAACTTTTAGGATAAAATCTTTGTGACCTTGAATTATTAGGCAAAGATTTTGGATTAGTAGGCAAAATATCTTCGCCTATTAATCCAAGGTCACGAAGACTTTTTTAGATATGACACCAAAAGCTCAATCCATTTAAAAAATTGATACATTGAAATTCATCAAATTAAGAACTTATGCTCTTCAAAAGACGCTATTGAAAGAATGCAAGTGATGTACTGGGAGAAAACATTTCCAAATCATATAGCTAATAAAGAACTTATGTCAGACTATATTAAAGATTCTTAAAACTCAATATTTTAAAAATGAACAACCCAATTTTTAAAAATGGGAGATTTCTGATCAGACAAAATGGCCATAGACTCATTTTTCCCTCCTTCTCCCCACTAAGTACATCTGTAAGCCCTGGAAATAATATAAGAGGCAACCAAAGGAGAACCATGAAATGTGCGAAGAGAAAGAATTGATTTGGGAACCCTGGAAAAACACAGCAGCAGAACATCTGATCATTCCTTTGCCCAACAAGAAAGATAACTCATATCTGATATTTCCCAACCTCCAAAATAGCGACAGAAGGCATTGCAGGTTGACTCTTTCCACTGCTAAATCAAAGTCCCTCCAACAATATGGGTAGCAAGCCTGGCACCACCCACAAGGGAGATCCTTTGGAAGACCTGCTAACAATAATTGACCAGGAGAAGTGCTCTCTTCCCACTGAGCCTGAGACTCCTCTCCTGCCAAGAGATACCGGGGTAGTTAGCAGCACCGGCAAAGGAGTCCCTACCACAACAAACAGCCCAGCCCAGAGAGCCTTTTTATCCTCATGGGCCTGAAACGCTGCTTTTCACTGACAGACATTCAGTAGCCTGGCCCAGGGAAATGCTTTTGCACCATCAGGCAGCTGTAGCAGGAACTAGTGGGAGCAACAGCAGGACCAAATAAACCAACCGACCAAAAGAATACCACAAAAGTTCTGAAAGTTAAATCATCACTGGAACTGTATCCCACAAAAAGTAAGTTAGGACCAGCATGCTAATCCTAAACAGAGTGGCACCTGTTAAAAAAAAAAAAATTTAAATACGACCCAGTGTCTCCTAACATAAATGATGAAATGTGCAGCGTACAACCAAAAATGACTCATCCCACCAAGAACCACAAAAATCACAATTTGAGTAAGAAAAGACAACCAACTGATGCCAACAGTGAGATAAGTCATATGGCAGGATTCTCTGACAGGGATTTGAAAGCAGCCATCACAAAGATCTGTCAATGGTAAATTACAAATTCTCTTGAAACAAATGAGAAACCAAAAAAAAAAAAAAAATCTCAGTTTTAAAAAGTTACTTAAGAAACAACCAAAAGGAAATTATAGAACTGAAAAATACAATAAGAAATATTTTCTGAGGCTCGGACTGGCCCGCGGAGCTGCAGCAGTCCCTTGAGCCCTCCTCGCCCTCCCCACCGACATCATGCTCCAGTTCCTGCTTGGATTTACACTGGGCAACGTGGTTGGAATGTATCTGACTCAGAACTATGACACACCAAACCTGCCTAAAAAACTTGAAGAAATTAAAAAGGACTTGGATGCCAAGAAGAAACCCCCTAGAGCATGAGACTGCCTCCAGCACTGCCTTCGGGAAACACTGATTCTACTGCTCTTGAGGGCCTCCTTTACCATCTGAACCAAAAGCTTTTGTTTTTGTCTCCAGCCTCAGCAATTCTCTTCTTTGCTAGACCCTGTGTTTTTTGCTTTAGAGCAAGCAAAATGGGGCCCCAATTTGAGAACTACCCTACATTTCCAACATGCTCACCTCTTCCCATATTCCCTTTCCAACTGCATGGGAGGTTCTAAGACTGGAATTGTGGTGCTAGATTAGTAAACCTGACTTTTAATGGGGAAAAAAAAAAAAGAAAGAAAGAAATATTTGCTGTATGGCCTTAGAAAGTTGAATGTGGATGACAGAGGATATAGTCAGTGAACTTGAGGAGAGATAAATAGAATTCACTCAATCTAAACAACAGGTTACAAGCTAGATGAAAAAACAATAAACAGAGCCTCAGAGACTCATATGACAATAACAAAAGATTATCAGACGTCAACATTTGTATTATGAGAGTCCCAGAAGAGAAGGAAAAGAGTGAAGAAATAATGAAGATTATTTGAAGAAATAATGGCTGAAAGCTCCCCAAATTTGGCAAAAGATGCAGACTTTCTAGTTTAAGAAGCTGAATGAAACCCAAATAAGATAAACCCCCAAGGAAGTAAAAAACATCATAATTAAACTTCTGAAAAGTAGAGACAAAGAGAACTAATCTTGAAAGGAGCCAGAAAGAAATGATGTATTACTTACAAGAAAATACCAATTTAAATGACAGCAGATTTCTCATCTGAAACCGTGGAGGCCAGAGAGAGTGGCACAAAATTCTCAATAGTAAAAAGAAAGAACTGTCAACTGCAAATTCTATATCTGGTGAAACGATTCTTCAGGAATGAAGGGGAAATAAAGACGTTCTTAGACAAAGAAAAACAAAAATAATTTGTTGCTAGGTGACCTACCCTTAAAGATTGGCTAGAGAAAGTTCTTTTAACACAAAGAAAATTATTTAAACAATGATTTTAGATCACTATGAAGGAAGAAGGAACATAAAGAGGAGAAATGCATAGATTACCCTTTTTAAAATAAATTTTATAAACCATATTTAATGACCAGGCACC